AAAGGCGATATACAGCAAGCCTATAGCCAACATCGAACTGAATGGAGAGAAACTTAAAGCAATCCCACTGAAATCAGGGACAAGACAAGGCTGCCCACTCTCTCCATATCTTTTCAACATAGTTCTGGAAGTCCTTGCTAGAGCAATAAGACAGTTGAAGGAGATCAAGGGGATACAGATTGGAAAGGAAGAAGTCAAATTATCACTATTTGCAGATGATATGATATGAGCAACCCCAAAAACTCTACCAGGGAACTCCTACAGCTGATAAATACCTTCAGCAAAGTGGCCGGATACAAAATTAACTCAAAAAAATCAGTAGCACTCCTGTAAACAGAAGACAAAAGGGCTGAGAAAGAAATTAGGGAAACAACACCCTTCACAATAGCCACAAATGACATAAAGTACCTTGGTGTAACCCTAACCAAGCAAGTCAAAGACTTGTATGAAAAAAAATTCAAGTCTCTGAAGAAAGAATTAGAAGAAGATATAAGAAGATGGAAAGATCTCCCATGCTCATGGCTTGGCAGGATTAACATAATAAAAATGGCCATCTTACCAAAAGCAATCTACAGATTTAATGCAATTCCCATCAAATTGCCAACACAATTCTTTACAGACCTGGAAAGAAAAATTCTCAACTTCATATGGAATAACAAGAAACCCAGAATTGCTAAAACAATCCTCTACAATAAAAGATCTTCTGGAGGTATCTCCATCCCTGATCTTAAGCTGTACTATAGAGCAACAGTTATAAAAACTGCATGGTACTGGCATAGAAACAGAATGGTGGATCAATGAAACCGAACAGAAGACCCAGAAATAAACCCACACACTTATGGACACCTGATCTTTGACAAAGATGCCAAAACCATACAGTGGAAAAAAGATAGCATCTTCAACAAATGGTGCTGGTCCAACTGGATGTCTACATGTAGAAAAATGAAAATAGATCCATATTTATCACCCTGCACAAAACTGAAGTCCAAGTGGATCAAAGACCTCAACATAAAACCAGACACATTAAATCGGCTAGAAAAAAAAAAGTGGGGAATACCCTAGAACTCATTGGCACAGGGGACAACTTCCTGAACAGAACACCAACAGCACAGGCTCTAAGATCAACAATCAATAAATGGGACCTCATGAAACTGAAAAGCTTCTGTAAATCAAAGGACACCGTCATCAAAACAAAAAGACTGCCTACAGATTGGGAAAGAATCTTCACTAACCCTTTATCTGACAGAGGGCTAATATCCAGCATAAATAAAGAACTAAAGAAGCTGAAAAGCAGCAAACCAACTAATTCAATTAAAAAAATGGGGAACAGAGCTAAACAGATAATTCTCTGTAGAGGAATATCGAATGGCAGAGAAACACTTGAAGAAATGTTCAACCTCATTAGCCATTAGGGAAATGCATATCAAAACAACCCTGAGATTTCACTTTACACCCATCAGAATGCCAAGATGAAAAACTCAAGTGACAATACATGCTGGAGAGGTTGTGGAGAAAGGGGAACCCTCCTCCACTGCTGGTGGGAATGTAAACTTGTACAACCACTCTGGAAATCAACTTAGCACTTTCTCAGACAACTAGGAATAGTGCTTCCTCAAGATCCAGCCATACCACTCCTAGGCATATATCCAAAAGAGGCTCAAGTACACAATAAGGACATTTGCTCAACCATGTTTGTATCAGCCTTATTTGTAATAGCCAGAAGCTGGAAACAGCCCAGATGCCCCTCAACTGAAGAGTGGATGCAGAAATTGTGGTACATCTACACAATGAAGTATTACTCTGCAATGAAAAATAAGGAAATCATGAAATTTGCAGGTAAATGGTGGGACCTGGAAAGGATCATCCTGAGTGAGCTGTCCCAGAAGCAGAAAACACACACGGTATATACTCACTCATATAGACTTATAGGATAAACCTAAAATCTGTACATCTAAAGAAACTAATCAAGAGAGAGGACCCTGACTAAAACACTCAATCCCCATCCTGAAAGGCAAAGAGATTAGACATCAGAAGAAGAAGAAAACAGGAAACAACCTAGGAACCTACCACAGAGGGCCTCTGAAAGGCTCTGCCCTGCAGACTATCAAAGCAGATGCTGTGACTTTATGGCCAATTGTTGGGCAGAGTGCATGAAATCTTATGTAAGAAGTGGGAAATAGTAGGTTATGGAGAGGACAGGAACCCCACAAGGAGAGCAACAGAACTAGAAGATTTGAACACAGGGGTCTTCCAAGAGACCCATACTCCAACCAAGTACCAGGCATGAGGATAACCTACAACCCCTGCACAGATGTAATCCATGGCAGTTTAGTGTCTAAGTGGGTTACATAGTAATGGGAAGAGGGACTGCCTCCGAAACAATCTGATAGGCCTGCTCTTTGATCACCTCCCCCTGAGGGGAGAACAGTCTTACCAGGCCACAGAAGATGACAATGCAGCCACTCCAGATGTGATCTGATAGACTAAGGAAGGAGAGGAGGACCTCCCCTATCAGTGGACTTGGGGAGGGGCATGCATGAAGAAGGGAGGGAGGGTGGGATCTGGAGGGAAGGAGGGAGGGGCTTATGGGGGGATACAAAGTGAATAAAGTGTAAAAAAATAATTTAAAAAAATGAAAAAAATAAAAAATAAATAAATAAAATAGATTCTGCAGTTTCTCAGCCCCCCCCCCAAAAAAAAACAAGAATACGGAAAAAGAGACCATAGGATACTAACTATATATTGTTTTAAGCATCCAAAGGCAAAAGGAAGGATTATATAAATAAATATTGTAAGTTGGTTAATTATTGGAGGAGGCACCATTTTCTTACAGTGACCATTCATTTAAGTAAATGGACAATGGTTAGGAACTGAATAGAGCTTTATCAAACATATGAATGATATACTCAGGAGTAAAATAATCATCAATGGAAATGCAATGAAAGTGGCCATAAAAGAAACTTGTTTACCTACATAAAGTAATAAAAATAATTATAAAGAAATTAAAGGTAAAAAAAAAAAAAAAACTACAAAAATTTTCCCAATCAATACGGTGCTCATGTGGTAGTACCATTTTATTTTTATTCTTTATTTTTTATTGGTGTGTGTATGGCAGGGTGTGAGGGGTGGGCAGGGGGTCCTAAAGGGGACCAGAAGAGGGTATCAGAGTCCCTGGACCTGAAGTTACAAACAGTTTCAAGCTACCTGCTATGGGTGCTGGGAGCCGAATTCTGGTCCTCACTAACACCCTCAACCACTAAGCCATCTTCTCCAGCCCCTGTCAGTTATATCTTTAAAATGTGACAAATGTACTAAAATCAGGCCTGGTGGCTCAGGCCTGTGATCCCAGCCACTGGGAAGGCTGAGGCAAGAAGATCACAAGTTCAAAGCTTATCTGGGCTACAGAGCGAGTTTAAAGCCAGCCTGAGTAACTTAGCTTAGTCTAAAAAAAAAAAAAAGAAGTTAAGAGCAGGTGATACAACTAAGCAGTAAAGCAGATCCCTAGCAGGGTGGATCCCGGGCTCCACCCCCAGTACCAAAACCAAAATGGACCAAGTAAACAAGAAAAATGCTAAAACCTCAGTGAAAATGAGTGGGTAAAAGGCACAAACAGAAAACTCACTGAAAAGAGGTAAGGACAGAAAGTAAGCACACAAGAAAACTATCTGAATTTATGAAGGACGTGCTGGGGTGGGTGGTAAGGAGTGCTCCCCTTTTCTGAGGAATAGGGAGGGAGTATGGGGGAGGAGGGAGGAAGGGTAGAATTGGGAGGGGAGGAGGGAGGGGGCCACAATCAATAAATTAAATAAGTAAATAATTTTATAAGACAATAAATAAATTAATTGTAAAACAAAAATAAAATAAAATTTGCAGAAAGGGCTGGGAAGTAGTGGCACACCCCTTTAATCCCAGCACTTAGGAGGAGGAAGCAGGCAGATATCTGAGTTTGAGGCCAGTCTGGTCTACCAAGTGAGTTCCAGGACAGTCAAAGCCACACAGAGAAACCCTGTCTTAAAAAAACCAAAAATAAATAAATAAAATTTAAAAATTCATAGAAAGGAAAAAAATAATCGTAGTTGGGATATGGTATTACAGAAACTTTCATATGCTTGCAGGGTTAAAGGTAAACTGGGGCTGGAGAGATGGCTCAGTGGTCAGGATTACTGACCAATCTCCTAGGGTTCAGTTCCCAGCACCCATATGGCAGCTCAAAATGGGCTATAACTCTAGCTCCAGGAGATCTGATACCCTCTTTTGAAATCTGCATGCACCAAGTACATAGTGTGTATACATATATACAGGCAAAGCATTCATAAAACATCATAAAACATCAGCTCTTTCTTAAAAATGGTAAAATAGTTTCTAAAAACGATTTATGGCCAGGCATGGCGGCACACCCCTCTAATCCCAGCATTCTGAGGGACAGTGGCAGGCAGATCTCTGTCTGAGGCCAGCCTGTTCTAGGGCAGCCTGAAGTATGTAGAGAGACCCTGTCTCAATATGAAGAAATAAAGAAAGAATGCTAAAGAAGTTCTTTTACCCAACTTAAATGGGAATATCCAAGAAGTCATTCCAAGCTTGAGGGTTCAAATACAAAGCTATCTGGGGCTTTAATGCTCCCTAAGTGGGACATGATCCAATACCTACAAACAAAATGAATAAACTATAGTATCTCTAGCTGAAGATGAACCTATATAGTTACTAAAATTCTTTCAAAGAACATTTTAAGACATTGTAAGGACATTTCCTACAAATGCATATGAAAGTGTTAAAGACATTTGCCCAGGGAGTTAGAGAGACGGCCCAGTGGTTAGCACATGCTGCTCTTGCAAAGTACCAGAATTCGGTGCCCAGCATCCATGTTAGATGGCAGCACCTGCCTGAAACTCCAGCTACAATGCCCTCTTCTGGCCTCCATGGGCACTTCTTTCATGTGTCTACACATATACACACCAACATCTAAATCTTAAAGAACAAAATCTGAGGGAAAAGATACTCACCCTTGGAATAACGTAGGGTAGGTAAATTTCAGGACAGACAGGACATACTGAAAAACAAACACCAGATTAGTGGACATTTTGAATGACAAAATAGACAGAGAACATAATAATCTTCCTGTTGAAGAAATTGGAGTATGTTTAAATATCTAAAGGATTTCATTCCCTCAAATTGTGAAAGGACAATAGAACAGCCTTCCAAGTTATACTGAAGAGAAAAGATTTTTCTTTTTTAGAGCAATTCAGCTGAGGTACAGTTCTGTTTTTGCTTTGCTGTTGCTTGTTTGTTCCTGGGCTACAGGATCCTGTCTGTATCCTGCTCTTCCAGAGGACCTGAACACCTGGTGGCTCACAACCATCTGTAACTCCAGATAAACTAATGCCTGCCGTTCTCCAAGCAAAACAACCACACACATAACATAAAAACATAAAAACATCCAGGCTAGCCTAGAACTTGCTATGCAACCCAGGCTCCAGATAATCCTTTGGCCTCAGTCTCCTAAGTATCAGAATTATAGGTATGTGCCACCATACTGACTCAATTTGTACTTATATTAATCCTTTCTTTTTTAATTCTTTGTTGTGTATAATTTGTTGTGCCACCATACATATAAA